GCTTTCGAAAGGTGGACCTTTCTTCTTCAGGGGCAAACTGGGAATGGTCTTATTTGGTTGTAATCTGAGGCACCCGTCCTTCGTTCGGGAGCATAAGGATTGAATGTAGGGCTTGAACTAATCAGTCAAGAATTTTTATTTATATGTATAATTTATTTCACACATAATTTACTTTACAACAGTTTTATTCCACATTACAGAAATGGTGTTACAATGACTTTATTACTTTTATTAATCTATTTCCACAGCTTCAATGTTTGTTGATACTCTGAGTGCTTTTCGATACACCACATTATAGATATCTTCGTGGTCCTTGTCTTGAACACTCAACATAGAATCAGTTCTAGATTAATGCATAAGTCTATATAAAACTAGCAGAATAAGGGAAGAGTGAGTTGTTATTGTTATTCCCAAACATTAGTTGGACTTAAGGCCCAACTAAACCTTAATCCAACCCTACATAAAATTGGCCATGTAAAAAGCAAGAGGTTTTCAAATGTAGTCCTGTCATTTTAAGAGTCCAACCTTGTGTTTTGATTAACTTTTACCTGGAAAAAAATGTGAATATTTGACATTTTTAATGAATATACTCAAAAATTCTCATGAAAAATAAAAAAATTAAGGAATAAAAATATTTTCCTACACTGTGGAGTCACTAACTGATTGAATGACAAAATCGGCTGTTCTTTCCAACACCGAGGGAGCCATTTCCTTACAACGGGCATGTGGCAGAACACCCAGAAAGTAAATGTTCTAAGCCTTGTGATCGAAGTGAAAGACTAAGCTGTCAATTGCCCTATATGAAAAGTCAACATTCCTGTCCTATAAATCATTAAATGTTAGATATGAGAGACAATCCTGTCAGTAAAACTACACGAAAAGTCAAGATATGTACGTTACAACGCCCAGAAAGTAAATGTTATTCCAAGTTTAATAATTTAGTAGGACAGATCGATAGGCCTAGCATACTATCTGTTCAAAAAATTTAATTCTCGAAATTCTTTCAAAAAAGACAAAATGTCAACAATTCTAACACATTTCCAGATTAAGAAATTGACTTTTTTTTTCAAAATAATTTACTTACAATTTAAAGGTTTATTTTTTTGCGCATGAAACAAGTTATACAAACTGCACAAGGCAGTGTTTTAATATAGCCGCAAGGGACACTTTGAGGAACTTTATCAATAATGTTTAGCGACAAAGACGTCCAGTCGAAACAACACGTTCTCGACATGAAGAAGGGGTTTGAAGATTGTCCTGCATTAAAAGACAAAGTCTTTCAAGTTGTTATGCCTGAAATAGTAAATGCATATTATTTTAAGCATATTTCACTGTACTTGTTTCCTCTTACGTATGTTACATTAAACATATTGCATTGTATGTATTTTTATCTTAATTAGGCATGCTATTTCTTATTTTATGTTATTTAAATTAAAGGTCTTCCAGTGTTTATTTCTTTACATTAAACATATTACAGTGTGTGTTACCTGTGTTCTTTATTGGAAAAAATCTTTGTGATATAACATAAAAAGGTTTTTAATAGTGCATTATAAAAGTATGCCCCAACTTTCAAAATATAATGAAATTCAACGAGTTAAAGTGTTTGTACTAAGGTTTAATCTCTAACATACCATACTTCTTTAAGTCCGCAATGATGAAATTTCTTGTTAGATGGGGGAGATATTGAGAACACAGACAAACAAATATAACATTAGTTAATTTAAATTAACTTGCTATCCCCCTTTTTTTTGTTAAAGTAAAACGTATTGTTGGATTATTACCAGTGGCTGCCCTGGATTTCCGAAATCTACAATTATACGGATGAAGGAGTGTTAAATAAAATGCTAAGAGAAATGTCGAAGACTCTAAAATTACGGTAAGATTTTTTCCCAATTGGAATAGGTTTAAAACGGAATATATATTTACACTTTGTATTTGTCCTAAGTAACTTTACCGTTTTGCTACCGATTTACTATACATAATTATACTTGAGATGTAGCTACTAATTTAGTATATGTGATAAACAATATGGTGTAGATTCATCTTACGTAATTAGCCATTTAAAGCAGATCAATCTATTTATCTTGGTAATTATTTATTTATTTTATAGTCATTTTATTCATCATTTTATAGTCGGTTGAGATGACGTTTTCCACGGACAGGAGCAAATCAAAAACAACATTTTGTGTCTGTTCTCTTCATTCGAGTAGAAAACTTTATTTTTCAAGTCTACAGCTGTTAAGTGAATACTGGTAACTGTTCGGCAAGATCTTGTTGTATACGCTTTTTCTGTTTTATCAAAAAAATTAACAATTATATATATATAGATAGATGCATATATACACAAGAGTGGTACAGCCAGACATTAATAATATACAACGTTCCGCAGCACCATGAGTTACTTCAAGTTATTAGCATATTTTGATTCCCAAACTCCCTTTATGTGCTCTCATCGTACAAAAAGTCGTTTCAAAGTAGTAAGTAAAGTTTTAGGTCTCCTGTGTGTTATAACTATTTCATTATATTTCCTCCATGTGTTACAGATTCAACGTTACGATTTTAAGCCAGAGTAGTAACTGTATTAAAGAAAATGACTGCTGGACCCAGTCGTTGCAAAGGATTTATTCAGGTGTAAGTTTATCAATAATCAATGATTCTTTTCATTCAAAGGTTAAGTAGAACTTGTATTGTTATTATTCTAATTTTCTCGATGACATGTATTTTAGAAGGTAGTTTATTATTAACTTTGATTTTTAGTGTGATTTCTTTTCTTAATTATTTTAGTTTGAAATGTAAGATTTTATTTTTGTTATTGTAAACTGTCTTCTTCATTTACTTTAAAAAGTGCATCATTTTCATCATGCTTTAATTGTTATCGTTTTTCTGATTTTTTAACACAAAATGTTTCATTCACTAACTTTAAAAATATACATAGTTTAGCTACGAAAATCGAAACGTTCTGTAAAAGTGATGAGTCGCCAAATTCTATCCTAGTTCCCATCACTCTCTGCCAGATTTTATATCCCTGTTTCGCCTAGTTTTCAAGGAAACAAGACGAAAATGAAATAATCTACTGACTTGTCCAATCTGCCTTTTTGTTTTTTGTGATCAAATATGTTTCGAGGTTTTTTTTTTTGTTCTGAGGTATCTTATTCTTATCAAAATAAAGTGCGACTTTCGTCTTGGAGCACTATTTAGTTCAAAAGTAAAACAAAACATTGAAAGATACGAATTTGTTAGGAACACTCAGCAACTTGAAAACTTTTCAGACTCTTAAGTAGGCCTGAAGTTAAAATTTGCCTTATTAAGAGTTAATGGTGGCTTAGCCCTTTTAGTTCAGTTGATGAAGTACTCGCCTGGTTTATCAGATGTTTCGGATTCAATCTCAAGACGTGGTGAAATAGTATCACATTATTAAAAAGTGTCTTAGTAGAAGTTATTAGTGGAATAACCCTTTAACTCAGTTGATAAAACGCACACCTAGTGTATGAGAGACTTTGTGGCTGATTCCAAGTTGAGGAAACAAACAAACTAAAAAAAAAAAAGATTAATACGTAGTCTAGAAACGTCATTCATAACAAACACTAAAGCATATTTAAAATGTTTAGTCAATTTAAATTAAATAAGAATCCAGTTATTGGTTATATACAAATTCTCAAACCTGCAATCACATTTAAATAATGTACCTCCACTGCATACATCGAACCTCGGATTTTAGCATTGGAAGCCTGTAAACTTACCATTAATCCATCAGGGGAACAGCCTACTTGTTCATATTGCTGTAAAGTTGTACAGTTTATAGAATGAGAAATTACCACAAAATTTTAATTAATTGTTTATGTTTGGTTTGTTTGTTTGTTTGTAATTAAGCACAAAACTATACAATGGGGTATCTGTGCTCTGCCCACCAGGGGTTTCGAAACCCGTTTCTAGCGTTGTAAGTCCGCAGACATTTTGGCATATTTTGGAAACCTCGACTTAACCAGTAATTATGTCATTCAAACTCCATGTATTAAACCTAGTGGTCAAACATCACAAATACTCAACAGTGTATTATGAAATAACAAACTCTTTATTAAAACTTATCATAAGAAATAATTTTCAAAATAGTAGGAAACAAGCAGTCTCAAAAAAAAACAAAAAACTATGGATATTGACAGAATGGATTTTAAAATGGCCCAGATGAGCGAGAGCAAATTTTAAATGTCAACTTGAAAATTACTAAATTCTGGAAGCTGAACTCAAAGTTGTACTTGAAGATTTCCGGTAATTTGTATATACATGCATTTTACAGTAAGGTCAGTTTCATTCTAACTGGGATAATGATGTCAAAGTATCAGTTTAAACTTTTTTTTTTATAGATGAGGAACAATTCCTGTCTACGTAACTAAACAGCTGAACAAACAGTTGGTTAAAATGTACTTCTGTTGTTAGGTCTTGATCTGAATCATAAACAGTTCCTTTCTAGCAACCATAATTAAACAGGAGTGAATTCTGTAGATTAAAATGTACTTCTGTTGTTAGGTCTTGTTCCAAATTAGGGTTAACTTAATCATTTACTAGCAATAGACGAAGACATTAAGCCACAAAAGGATTATTTAAACTAAAATTTAGTATGGTCATGAACACTTCAACTTAAGAATGTTTTACTTGTACATACTTATATTTCTACCACCAAATACAAATTACATATTTCTAAATTTTTGTGAATAGTAAATAGTCGCACCAAGGGTGGTGGTGCTGTCAGTTAAGAAGGTTTGTTTGTTTGTTTGTTTGTAATTAAGCACAAACTACACAATGGGCTATCTGTGCTCTGCTCACCACGGGTATCGAAACTCGGGTTTTAGTGTTATAATCCGCAACAGTTAAGAAGGAAAAATAATTTATAACTAAGGAAAATACCATTTCTTTCAGGAATTTGACATTGGAGTAGGGCCATTCACAATAAGGCCAAAAAGACTTTTGAATGTTGGCTTTACATCACCATTTCATATAGATGAGTTTGGATTTCTTGTTGGTGAAAAAAAACAAGATACAGACTTGATTGGCTTTTTTAATCTCTTTGAGTGGCAGGTGAGTGGACATAGTGTTAGCGTTATAATTTATTTTAAAAATGTATCGATGTTTGTTTTATAGTATTAGATCGTCAACAAATTAAAGTCGCGTTTTGGAACACTTTCATTAACCCCCCCCCCCCCCAACCCAAAAACAAACAAACGTACATCACTATAATAGTTAAACGAACC